CTAAGCTTGAGCCTGAGCATAAGCCTATGCCCTGGGTTATGCTCAGACTGTGCACTGAAAAAATTTCCGTGAACTCTGCCTCGTAACAAGGGAAATAGAATTCTTCTGATTCCAAAGAGCCGCTGTCACTTCGTGGTAAATACAGGGAAAAAAAACTTATTCATTATATTGCAGATTACTATATCTTTGTTTTATTGGTATATTTTAGAGATAATTCATGTCATAAAATTCAACCAAAGCTATACACAGTAATGAGGACAAAACTACTATCTTTGCACCTTTGTCTAACAACCTGTTTAATGTCACATTACCTGATCCATATTGCTCCTGTAGATCTAAAGGAAAACCTGTGAATATAGGTTTAAATATATATCTATCTTATTTGTAGTCCAATGTGCGGATGTTTTTTCTTCTGAGCTGAGCTGAGACTTTAAACTGTTTAAACTGTTGGCATCTAGAAAAACCTTTCCAGAGCCCATTTGAACATCCATTTCCTTGCCAGTCCCGTGAATCTCGTTACATTCCTTCAAGTTCCTAGAAGCGTTTTTTAATTGCTGCACACTTTGCAGAATGGTATTAGGCATTACGTGTCGTCTATCTTAGTTTGGCTTTCTCCTTTGCTTCATTCCTGCTATTGAGTCTGCGCTGATACTGATTCCAGCTTCCTCGGCTGTTGCTGTTCTGTTGCGTTTCTTCCTTTCTGTTTACATTTATGTTCCCACAAGATCTTCTTTGGGATGTTCTGTGAAATGGAGGGGACATGAAGGCAGTGCTGACTGCATTCCTCATCACTGACAAGGTCTTCTACTGGATGCTCTGATTCTGTGTAAAATGTTAGTGTTACATGGTCTGAACTTTATTCTTTACAAAGAGAAGTCCTTTTGTCTTTACAGTACTGCAGTATTGCTTACTCAGTCCTTACAGTACTAAAGTATTCTTTTGGTACAGTGAGCTGTTAGGTAGAGTCTAGAAATAAGTTTCTGATTCTGTCAAATTACACTCACTTCAAGTCATTGAGGAAACTGTGTATCTCTTTTCTCCACTTAACTGCAGCATTCCATTACAATAGATGTAAGGTTCTTCTAAGCACCTATGCATTCGTCTTCTGGGCATTCCTGTCTGCATGTGAGACCACTTAAGTCAGATATCTATAGTTACTCAGGAGTTTACGGCAAACATCAAGTCTACACAAGTCCTATGTATGGTAATACATTCTGAAAATCCAGTCCCACAGTTTTAATGGTACAGAGACTTGAAGTTGTCTCCTTATCTAATTTATTTAGAATAGCAAATAAATAATGTAGTAGCATCATAGTTGAAAGAGAATGTTGCATATCAGCATCTTTCATAGTGGCTATAAGCACTTCTCATAGAATGGAAACAGGAGTAAATAGAAATGTGCTAGGATTTTAAAATACTCTTATCAACTGCACTAAATGCTCATTTCATATTGTACAGTCAAGTCAGTATCAGCTTGTGAGACTTGAAACAAATTTTATAGTGCTAAAATCAGAAAAGTCTTTCTGATAAGATTCTTGCCTACATGAAAAACTCCTTCTGGTTTAATCAGAACTATGATGATAATATATAAAAAAAAAAAAAAACTGATGTGAACAGTACGGAGCCCTGTGTGAAGATTCTCAGTTCAATCTACAGCAGGATGATTTCTTCTTTAATATCAATTGCTTAAGACATTTTTTTTTCCAAATGACACAAAAAATAGGCTAGTTTTCAAATTACTTAAGTGTCCAAATGGTAAGTGTAATTGTCTAATTTTAAAACTGACCGACCAGTTATATTGCTGCCTCTTACAAACCCTTTTTGTTGAGACACTATTAATCATGCCTGCCTGTAGCAAAAGTATTGGAATAGATGAGAAAAAAACATTCTTCTGTTTTGATAATAGTTTATTCTCAATAGAATTGAAGAATTTCTCTGTGGATGCAAATTTGAAGCTTCAAATAGTACATATTCATAAAAAAGGAATCTTTGTGTACCTCCAAGACACTACAGAAGAACAGTCTGATGGCTCCATTAACTGCTTTGTTCATTTACATGCAGTGGATGTTTACATTCAAAATGTACTCAATTCGTCTAATTAAATCTTATTCTAATATATTTTGGTACGACAGAGTTAGAGGCTTCAGTGAGGCTTGACAGAAGTAGGAAATAAGTTTTCTGTATTAAGAAAGATCTCAGAATCACAGAATTGCAGGGGTTGAAAGGGACCTCTAGAGATCATTAAGTCCAACCCCCTACTAAAACAGGTTCCCTACAATAGGTCACACAGGTGGGCGTCCACATGGACTTTATAAATCTCCAAAGAAGAAGACTTTACAATCTCTCTGGGCAACCCATTCCAGTGGTCCATCACTCTTACTGTAAATAAGTTTTTCCACATGTTCATATGGAACTTCCTGTGTTCAAGTTTTAGATCATTGCTATTTGTCCTATCACTACACACCAGCAAGAGGAGCCTGGCCTCATCCATTTACCTCTCATTTCCCTTTAGATATTTATAAGTATTAATCAGGTCCCCTCTCAGTCTTCTTTTCCACAAGCCTGAACAGACCCAGATTACTCAGCCTTTCTTCATAAGGGAGATGCTCCAGGCCCTTTATCATTTTTGTGACCCTTCACTGGACTCCTTCTAGGAGATCCCTATCTTTTTTGAACGAGGGAGCTCAGAATTGCACAGCATATTCTAAATGTGGTCTCACCAGGGCAGATAAGATGGGGAGGATCTCCCCTTCTTCCACCTTCTTCCACCTGCCGGCCACGCTCTTTTTAGAGCACCCCAGGATCCAATTGGCCTTCTTAGCCACAGGGGCACACTCCTGGCTCATGGCCAACCTGTTGTCCACGAGAACCCCCAGGTCCCTCTCTGCAGAGCTCCTCTTCAGCAGGTCATGCCCTAACCTGTGCTGATGCATGCAGTTATTCCTCCAGAGGTACAAAACTCTACACTTGCTCTTTTTAAACCTCATATTGAGATTGAATAAATATTTAATATTTAATCCTGATAGATATTAAAATAATAATTAAAAAATAATTATTAAAAAGCAGTTTATCTGAAAAAATACAAAAATATCTAAATACCTATATTTGAAATATAAGAAACTAAAAATAAGACCCTTCCTATTTATTTTTTAACTTAAAGCGCTAGCCAACGTAGAATCCAAGATTTGTGCTAATGATGTGCAGCCACAGTAAAGAATGAGTGGTAAGGGCTATGGAGGAAAGAGCTATGATTTGTTCAGTGTATTCTTATGTAGGTATGTGAGAAGGAACTGCACAAACTTTTTTTTTTTTTTTTAATCTTTCTACAAGCAGAAAGATTAATTTTTTATGTCAGCATGGGCGTGGGTCTTGAGATATTAAAACTCACAGCAGTACTTACACTTTCTAATCAGGGTCATGGTCTTATCATACTTGGTCCTATGCAAAGGCATTGTAATAGGGAGTCATTGTGGCAAAATCTGCATATACAAGCGAAGTAAACTCGTAAATCAAGAGGAAAAGAGAATTATCCTTTAGGATTCTGTTTAGAATTTTTGTCCAGTGCACACAGGCACTCTGTTATGTAGAAGAGAAATTTCAGTGACCTAGTGAATTCCAGAAGTTTTACTAGCTTACATCCTGGAAGCCTTACTGTATTTTTATGTTTTCTATAGAATAACTGAACTGGTCCAGAAGAAGACCATATGAGAACTCCATTTAACAAATTCCAGTTTAATTTATCTCTTTCAAGCTGCATTAATCATGTTTGAGGTTTGGCCCTGCTGAGCTCCTCTGAAGTAGGTAATGCTTATTAGCGTTAAAGAGCTAAAGATCAGCCTAATGGAACATGACAGCCCCAGTGCCCTGAATTCCAGGTTGCTTGAAGTCCTGATATTAAGAAACTTTCAAGTCTCTGAAGAAAACTTTGGTAAACCAGTTTATCAGTACGTACCAACTTTGAGGAAAGCACACATGTCACTGAAAGGTGAAAGCCAAAATGTGCATGAATTCTGGATTCAAATAATCGATGAACTCAATGCTATGGAAATGATGTTCCAGAATGCAACATCTGAGATTGTGCACATGCTTTTTGAATTAGAGTGCTGACTTCGAAAGAAGCTTTAAAGCACCTCTAAAATTCAAAACTAACTCTCAGGAAAAGTGAATTTTTGGAATTCATGTGGCATTTAAGTGTTCAAATGAGTATAAGTCAATGAGTATAAATAATATATGAATTATGGGTATAAATTAAGTCTTCTTTTGTCTTTTCTCTGATTCAGTGTAGCCATTCAAGTACCGGTTAATAATTATACTGACATTGTAAATTAGCTTATTCTTAGCGATCATAATAATCTTCACAGTGTAGAAACACCCATTTTCTTTGATGGCTCTTCTGTCATTCTATTATTATAAGTTTCACTGGTGAGTGTATCTGGTTGCTTGAAGTTTGGGAATGCTAGGTGAGTTATTGTTTCTATGCAAGAGACACGTCTTCACATTTCCTTTTCATTAGGCATTTCTTTTGTTTCCTGGAGTGGTGGAGGGTTATCTCCATGGTGTGCCAACATCTCATGACGTTGTGTTATGGGATTAGAGCAAGAGCCTTGATGGAAAACGAAACAGCTCACTTGTAATCTTAGCCATTACCTAAGAATACATGTTGGGATGTTGCATTTGCTGTCACCCCTACTAATTCCTGATGGTGAGAGAATGTCAGGCTGCTCCTGGAAATCTCCAGTAATCTGCCAGTGCTAGAGGTATCCAGAAAATGTTTGACTGGGCAGGCAATGCGTATTTAATAGAAATATTTTATGAGTGAAAATAGTATGTTTGTCCCTGGTGTAGAACTAAGCATAGGTCTAGGAATGGCTGAAGGTCCCCAAGGCTGGCACCTGTGGAAACAGTGGTTGAGACATTTAATATATATTTAATATAAAATGGACAGCTATATTTTACCTGTCAGTAACTCTGCTCTGTATCTTTTTACATTATTATTCTAGGTGTCCAACTCCTGGGTGTGATGGTTCCGGACATATTACTGGAAATTATGCTTCACATCGAAGGTATGTAAAGAGGAGTGTTTTTTCTATAAATCAATCAAATAGAGGGCTACGTGAGAGTTCAACAGACCTCTCTTCTCTCTTTCAGCTCTGGAGTAGTATTGAGTGCTTTATGTCAGCATATGTTGGTCTAAGTCATTCTACATATCATGAATGAGTAACATTTCTCAGTTTCAGCATGGCTCACTACCCAAAAAGGCAGGAAGATTTTTGTTAGTATCTAGCAGAATCTTTGTATAAAAATAATGCAATTTTTTCTCCCTTCTCTGTTAGCCAAGAGAAGTAATTAAATATTTATAAATTTATATTGCTTTACATTCTCAATAACAACTGTTTTCTGCAGTCTCAACCATTTCTGGACTAAAACGCTGTTCCTGCATTTTTTTCCCCCCGATTGTTTTTTGTCAGTCACTTCAGAATCTCTCCATATTTCTTTAAATGTGAAATTGAACTAACTTATTTACTGCCTCTCCCACCTGAAGTCTTAAATCATTGAATCGTAGAATCACAGAATTGCTAAGGTTGGAAAAGACTTTCAAGATCATCAAGTCCAGCCTCAACCTAACCATACTACCCTAACTCTAACAACCGACCAGTAAATCATGTCCCTGATCACCAAAGTACCTGTTGCATCTGCTATGCACCAGTCTTGTTAATATACTTCAGAATAAAGTTTGGTTTGTTTTTAAATCATGATTAATTGCTTATAATTATGTGAAGTCTGAAGAGTGGAAAGAGAAAATTATGAAGAAAAGCTGTTACACTGTGTGCCTAAACTATAAAAGGGATCCTTACCAAAGGCCAAAGGAAGCACATGGGGCCTCAGAAGGGCAGAGTAGAGGGGGACAATCACCTCCCTCTCACTGCTGGCCAACCCTCTTTTCATGCGGACTAGGATACAGTTGGCCTTACAGGCTACAAGCATATGCTGTTGGCTTGCATCAATCTTTTCATCAACTGGAACTCCCAAATCTTTCTATGTAGGTCTGCTCTCAATTAGTTCTTGTTCCAGTCTGTACACATATTTGAGATTGCCACAACTCAATTGCAACACCCAGTACATGGCTTTGTTGAACCTCAGCAGGTTCACATGGACCCATTTTTCAAGCTTTTCCAGATTCACTCAGCTTTGTGTCCTTGCTGAGGTTGCATTCAATCTCACTATTTGTCAAGCCATTGATAAAGATATTGAAGAACACTGATCCTGAGACAGGCACCTGGGGGACACTACTCATCATCAGCCTCCATCTGGACATGGAGGCATTGACAACAACCATCCAACCAATTCTTTATCCACTGAATAGTCTACCCTTCAAATCCAGACATTTCCAATTTAGAGATAAGAACGTGATGTGGGATCATACAAAAAGTCTTGCATAAGTCCAAATAGTTGATGTTGTTTGCTTTTCCTTTGTCCACTGGTGCTGTCAAATCATCATGTAAGGCCAGCAGACTGGTCAGGCACAATATGCCCTTGGTAAAGCTGTGCTGTCTGTTTCAGATAATCTCCTCGTCTTGCACGTGCCTTAACATAGCTTCCAGGAGGATCTGCTTCATGATCTTCCCAAGCAAAAATATTATGCTCATTGGACTGTAGTTTCCCAGATCTTCCCTTCTACCTTTCTTAAAAATTGGAGGGTTTCTTTCCTTTTTCCAGTAAGCAGCCATGACTTTTAAATATAATGGAGATTGGCTTGGCAACTACATCAGACAGTTCTTTCAGGATCCTGAGATGCTTGTCATCAAGTTGCATAGACTTGTAGACATTCAATGTCATCAGGTGGTCTTGAAATTGCTCTTTATTTACGCTGGGGGGATTTAACTCCTCTGTCCTATACATAGACGTTCAGACTTTAGAGATGTGGAAAGCCTTACTGCCAGTGAAGACCGTAATAGAAGAATTCGAGTACCTCAGCCCTTTCTTTGTCCATTGTTGCCATTTCTCCCTTCTCATTTATCAGAAGAAATACATGCTCCTTGATCTGTGTCTTCTGACCAGTGCATCCGAAGAAACCGTTATTATTTTTCATATCCATTGCCAAGTTCAGTTCTATCTACTCCTTGTCTTTCCTGATTCTATCTCTGCACGTCCAGACAGCATCTGTGTGTTCTTCCCAAGCCACACATCCCTGCTTCCCCTGCCTGTGCATTTCCTTCTTATTCCTCAGTTTTACCTGCAGGTCCTTATCCAACCATGCTGGTTTCCTTCCTCCTCTGCTTGATTTCTTATGTTGAGGGATGGAGAGCTCTTTTGTTCTCGGAAAGGCATCCTTAAATTGTTGCCAGTTGTGTTCTGTTCCTGTGTCCCCAGGGACAGTTTCCCAGGGGATCTCATCCAATAATTCCTTAAAGAGTCAGTAATCCTCTCTCTTGAAGTTCAGGGTCCTGACTGCTCTTTGCCAGGCCAGTATTCTTTGGGATCAAGAACCCAACCAGGACATGGCCACTAAAGCCCACAGTGTCTTCATTCTTAACCTCTTTAATGATCTCTGCTGCAGTAGTAAGCACCAGGTCTAGTAACACTTGACCTCTAGATGCTCTGCCAAATACCTGGACCAGGTATCCTATCCTTAATGGACTCCAGGAGTCTCCTAGATTGTTTGCAGCCTGCTCTTTTGCTTTCCCAACAAAAATGTGAGTGGTCAACATTCCCCATCAGGATAAGCGCCTGTGAGTGCAGTGCTTCTCGTAGTTGAAGCAAGAAGGCCTCACCACAGGCTCTCTGTGATCAGGCAGCCTGTAGTAGACCCCAACCACCAGATTTCCTTTATTGATCTGGCCCCTAATTTTAACCCACAAGCTCTCAACCTAATCATGGCTGTTTGTCTCTTGTAAAATGCTTGTAGCCCTTGTTAGTAATATTCCAATTGTGTGATTTTTCCCACCATGTTTCTGTGTACAGCAGTTAGGTATAGTTCTCTAATTGCACCATGGCTTCCATCTCCTCCTGCTGAGTAATATTGTGTGCATTAGTGTAGAAGCACTTCAGCTGGTCTATCAGCCATGTTATCTTCTTGGAGAAGCCCTCCCAAAGTCCTCTGGGACAAATCTGAGGTTTTCCTTTGCTGCATCCTGAGGTGACAGTGTTTCTTGGCTCTTTTGTTGCACTCAGTGGTACATCTCCTTCCCCATCCCCTAGTTTAAAGTTCTGCATGGTAGTATTGACCAGGAAAAGAGGAACATCTTTTTTCTTAAAATAGCCAGTGTCCCCAGGAGACTTACTGCATTTACACTGAGCCAGCCCCTCACTGTTCAATTCATTATATATGTCAAGGCCATTCCCTGAGGCGGTGAGGCCAGCAAAAGGCACCCTTTTTAAAAGGGAAAGAAACCAGTGGCCTAAATCCCAAGCTATTGAGTATGGAAGATTCTGCAGCACATCCATAGTTAAGCTGCTTCCCACATTGAAAATAGTCATTTACCTTGGCTTGCATCTGAGTCAACATTTTTATTTGTATTTTATGCACTTAATTCTTTCAGTTTTATCAGAAATTGCTTGACAAACTTATTTCCTAAATGGCTGTCATGATGTTCAGGTATCATTTATATTTAAAATGGCTGCATGCATAATGTACATAAAGGCAGATTTAACCCTGCCATAACTTTCTGCAGTTTCACACGGACATTTAATGTATGCAAGATGTATTGGCATATACAGTCATTTGAATTCTCTAATTGTCTTTTATCTTCATAGATGAGGAATTAAACTGAAATCAAAATGAAGTAATATGTTTACTTTATAATACATTTTGGTTAACACAGGATGAAAAATTAAAATGAAGTCTCATCTTTGACATATGTTTTCTTGGTGAATTTGCTATCAGAGGAAAAATGAATTAATCATAACCCTGGAAGATGGCTGTTGGATATGTCTGCTTAGAAGATATGAAAAGTCTTAGAATTCCCTAATAAATCATAGTGCCAAAATAGAAAGATCTATTGCAAAAAGATGATGCACCAAAACACCAATAAATAGGTGAAAAAAATGAATTGATTTAATATGCGGTAAGCATTAGACTGCTAATTCTCACACAGTGAGTAAAACTAATTTTGCAGATAACCTGGGGATATCTGTAACTCCCAGCCTTTTGCCTTTGTTTTTTTTCAGTCTACATAATGTGAATCAGTAAAACAACCTGTTCCAAACAGCATCCTTGCTCCATACCTTGTTTTCACTTATTCTAAACCCCTCTTGCTTCTTTGCTCCTGCCTTTGACTTCTTCAGATTATGACATCATTATTTTCAACAAAAACTATTCTTCAGTGGCAAGGGATTTGTACATAGGGAACTAGGGTACTTTGGTGGGTGCTGTAAAAGCTACTACAAAGCAACTGCTTTCTTTAAAAAGGAAAATGACCAACTACGTTTGTATTATCGCATGGGATGAGAACACAGGCTACACAGGTTGGTTCTTGATATAGGCAACGCAGTTGTCTATGCCGTTAAATGGTTATAGTGTGCCCTGTTGTGGTGCTGGCCCTGGGCCAGTGGAAGTCTACCAGGAAGTTCTCAGAAATTATTTGGAGCTCCACACATGTCCAGATCATTCTCTCTAAGCAATGTGAGTGTGGCTGTTGTGTTTTACAGAGAAAGAGGGTTGAGTTATATGGATGTGAACTAGCTGGTCTTGGGTAACAACAATAGTTCTAGGTCTTTTCTGTTTATCAATATAGATGTAGCCATGTCGTCTCACTAAAAGTTGCTAGGTAACATGCTCTGTGCCAGTATCTTGTGTCAGCATTCCTCCTTTTATTTAATTGAATTATCTACAACTTTACAGTATACAGATTGTTTTTTGCCTATGGTTTATTTCTTATTAACCAACACAGAATTCTATCCATGATTGCATAGCCCTTTTCTCAATTTGTACCTCACAGTACTCTCTCTCTTTAATGAGACAAAATATTGCGAATTTTTGCTACCACTGTTTCTATCTCTTCTTTTTGTATACAGGACCTACAGGACCATACAACACTGAAATACTTTATGTCATGCTGGAAACAAAAATCTACTCTTCTTTCTCTGAGACAAATTTTATAATACAGCTTTGTCTTTCATTTCAGTACATTTGAAGGTGTTGCCCTACCATTGGATTTCTTTGTATATGTTCATATGTTAAGATGGAAATAACATTTAAGGAGAGCATAAAGCATGGTTTTTGTCGGGTTCTCAACAGAGACAGCAGCTACTTTAAAAAAATATTCTGCCCATCTTTGAATATCTCTTAAACTCGTGGCCAATTCTACTAAACTGCTTCTGTAACTAATTGTTTATATGCAAAGAGAAAGTTGAACTTGTACATCCTGGAATAGATTGATATTTTTCCATCTTTTGTAGTTAAAACTGCATTCTCAGTGTTTAGTTAGAAGTAGCATAGTTTAGTCTAACATATAACTTGTCTGGGCTTAGCGTTCTGAGCACTTAAATTCTTTCTAAAGAAGGCATTGCACAGCTCTAAGCTCTGCTATATTTTTATGCAGTAGATCTGTAGGATTCTTACATGGCATTTTAGTTTTGACAGTGTCCCCAAAAGAAATCTTTTGTCCTACTGACAGAGCCAAAGGCTCCTGAGTTCTGACCTTCTTGGTTCTCAGCCATACGGAGGATGTAATGTCTCTGAGCACTGAAACACTTCTATGCCTCTCAAAGCTGCTGCTGCTGAGTCAGCTGCAGGGATTATTAGACAGAGAGCTAGGAGGTTCATTTTCTGTGCCTTCTCAGGAACTGCCTGTGTGTATGGTCTACATAGAGCTTACAGTGTTGTCCTTCCATCACAGACTGAGTTGCTCAGATTCCCCTTTGTGATTATAGGCTGCAGTCCTCCCTGTTCAAACTACTGAGCATTAATTTTGGAAACTGGACAGGATTACCCATTCTGCTAGTTTTTGCTATAGAAAGTATATCCCTTGTTACCTGTACATAGAGTGAGAAATTGTGGTTTAAAATGTCTCCTTTCACTCAGTCTTTCAGGCTGTCCAAGAGCAAAGAAGAGTGGGATCAGGATAGCACAAAGCAAGGAAGACAAAGAAGACCAAGAGCCAATTAGGTGAGAACAAATATTGTTAAAGGGCCTTCACGTGTTCTGTAACAGATTCTATATGTATATTCAGCTTTTAAGACAAATGTTTTAGTTTGTAGCTATCCAAGAATATGTGTCTTAAGTGTGAAATAGTTTTGCTTAATAAGAAATACAGAGCTCTCTAAATCCCAAGGAATTCTGCACTGGGCCATCTGAATTCAGTGACTGCAAATCAAGGACCCATGCTGATTTATTCTTGCCAAGGATGTGATCTTCTCTAATTTAAAGCAATCTAATTGTGTCTTTCACAAGAAATTCACAAGCTACATAAATGTTTATCTTCTAAAAAACCCTACAAAGTTTATGTGCTGTAGACAAAACATGCATGCTAAACAAAATAGTTGCAGGAATAGAGAATTAAATACTTAGATGAAAGTACTACTTAGAATCTGACTGCTTATTCAGTTTGTGAGAAGAGGAACAAATATTTACCTATAGGCCTTTGATTTTTTCTTGAGAAGTGCTCCAATTTCAGCAACTGCTGCACCCGGCAACTTTAGTGACTACTCTGAAACATTCAGAACTGGCTCCTCCATGTAGTGTTGCAGCAATATTTTAGCGTAGGACAGTCAATGAAATAACAAGCCTTGTTTTGGCCTGTGCTATGTAGTGGCATACTAACTGAAGTATTTTCTTTAAACATTTCCCTTTGAGGATATCTTCTTCCTTCTAACCCTGAGTGTTTGGTTTTTTATTTGTTTGTTTGCTTGTTCTTAAGTATATAGGGCAAATGTAAGGGGATTCCCTAGTAGCAGATTAATATGGAACTATCTTCACCGATCTCTTTAGGCATGCAGTGCAAGTTCGTTATAATCTCTCAAATTCAAAGAGTGGTTAAGTTGTTTCACATTTCTGATGCAGTTGGCACTATGATTTTGTATAATCTCTCGTAATCTGACTCTTGATTTTTAATCTGACAACATCCCTTTAGTGCAGAAAAGCATCACTTGCTCTGTTCACACCTAACATTTCCAGGACTTTGGACAAGGGATCTTTAGAATCCATACACATACTTAAAACGTAACAAGGAAGACACTAAGTAGGATTTTATGGTCACAGACTTTTTATGGACAATTTCCCTACTGAGTGGAGCTCCATAGGCACCATTCCAATTCCAGTGTGCTATTTACTTGTAAGAAGAACTTTTTTGTGTATTAGCAAAGCTCAATTTGTAATTTTACTCACTGGAGGGTATCTTGACTATTTTTAAGACGACAGTGCATGATTGTTCTTTTCATGTCAGGTTTATTTTGACTTTGTTGTAGAGGCTACCAGGTATATGATGGCAAGACAATAAAGTTTATCTCATCTATCTGCTATCCAGATGTCCAGTTCCTGGTTGTGATGGTCAGGGTCATATAACTGGAAAATATGCATCCCATCGCAGTGCATCAGGGTGTCCTCTAGCTGCCAAAAGGCAAAAGGATGGATACCTAAATGGCTCACAGTTCTCATGGAAGTCAGTGAAGACGGAAGGAATGTCATGTCCAACCCCAGGATGTGATGGCTCAGGACACGTCAGTGGTAGTTTTCTTACTCATCGTAGGTGAGTAACCATGGTTTATATTTTTCACTTAATTATATTATTTAAATCATATTAACAATATTTGGAGTACAACTTTTTGTCATGAGATTTCTCTGTTCCTTTTGACATTCATTATTACTTCAAAATAGGCTTCCCATTTATGTATTTAGATAACTGGAAATAAGAACTCATGATTTCTTAAATGAAAATCTTTGCAAGTAGAGACCTGAATCTGAATCTATAATACACAGAAGATTTTAGGGAACAAAATGTGCATAACAATAACTGTGAATGCTACTGCTTTATTAAGTGACTCTGAAAAAATTCCTTTGGTATAGACTTTGTAAAACACATCAGAATCTACCTCATTTTCAGAGATGTTGAATATACTGTTGATTCACAAATGAGCATGGAATGAAAGTATTTTCAGAAACCAGTTCTATAAATATGATTTACTTTTTACTTATTTGGTAATGAAAATGTTAGCTCAAAATAGTCAGGAGATTACAGAATAGAAACCCAAACAGAATACACCAGATTATTTAAAAATAATGGAATACAAATATTTGAGAAAAGGAAAACAAAGCCCTATTTTACATAAATTTAGCAAAAATAAGAGAACTTCAGAGACAACATTTTCCGTAGCTTTTAAGAGATTAGTGGATTGTCTACCAGGGATAAATTTTGTCCCTCTTTTAAACATTAGGTTATGAAGAAGAAAGGGTGTTTTTGGAGCTTTAGATGGGAATCTGAGTGGGAGCATGACTATAGTGCCAGGGCAAAGCTCTTCTTTTGTTCGATAGTAACTAATATTACTTCAGATATGTCAGTCAGTGTGCTTAATTTGTCACCAGTCAGCAGAGTTAGAATCATAGAATCACAAGGTTGGAAACGACCTACAAGATCATCTAGTCCAACCGTGTCCTCATCACCATTGCCACCACTAGCACTAACTAGCACATTAGTTCTCTCAGCATACATATTAGCTAGATGCAATAGTGTGTTGTATGTATTATTTGAGATTTTATATTCTTCCTTTCATAAATGGACATTAATGTTATGTTATTCAAACAGCTGTAACACTTGGAGACTGAAACAGCAAACTGGCTTGTGAAAATTATGCCAGCTATTAAATCAGTTATTGTATAGAGAGAGAGGTTTCTAAGGCACAGATTTCTTAGAGCTGCTGTTGCACTTTGTGCTTAAGGTATATTCTGCTGATAATAATGCCCTCTTGAGATGATCCACAAAAGATGGGAAATCAGTACTTAGATTAAAAACTGCTCCGACTGTTAATCAAATAGTCTGGAATTTAAGTATACGTATATTTGTACATACATAACTCTGAAGAAGGAATAAGAAGTCAGTGGAAAAAGTCACAAACTTTAGTAAATTCAGACTCCTATACTCCTATCCTATGTACAAAAGCACCAACAATGTGCTTGTTCAGTGTTTGCTTTTCCTGTCCACAGAAATTCTGATGAATAGTTTTATCAAGGAATTTTGTGTAGGAAAGAATGGCAACAAAGAGTTACCAGCATTATATACCAGGATTTGAAGCAAGGATTTATGTATGGTTCACAAAGGACACAGGGCCAGAAGGAAAGGCCGGTGTGAAATAAGGTTTCATATTACTAATATGAAAATGAATTGGAAAGAGTCTGTAGATAGGTAAATGAAATAGGATATAAGAAAATGCAATTTAGTTATTACACAGTGGAATTCCAAGATCTGCAAGCAAGTTTATAGAATGCGATTTATGCTTGAGCAGCAACAGCACATCCCTGGATTTGCAAACTGGGTTTGCAAAATGCTCAGGTATGATGGAAGAAAGTAATAGACATCACCTAGTGCCTTTTATCTGCTGAAGAAATTTAAGTAGAAGTTAGAAGGGGTTATAAAAAAAGAGGATTATTTTGGACTATCCACATTATACATAGGAAAGCCTAATTAATTGTAAGGCTGTCAGAAAGCCTGTAGGAAGATAATAGCAGTGCATTCAGTATACTCAGGTATACATCCTGAGGTGAAGGACCACAACCTGGGTTATTTCCTCTGAAAATTCAAGGTTGGTCTCAGCTCTGAGTTGTGCAGCTGCATTGCTAAGCCTATGAATAGGCAGGCTAGAAGATAAAACAAAGCTCAAGACAGGAATATTCTTCAGCAGCTACTTGCTAGAACCAGACTGATGCCTGCACTCATGCACTTCCTTGGAGAACCTCTGAGCTCCCAAACTCACAAGGTACCCTTGACAAATGAAATGACAGATGTCAGGAAAGAAGGATGGAGCTGTAGATTGTCACGTGCAGATTGTTTTTCTCATTAAATGTTTGCTAGAAGCAGACACTGTTTAAAAGAACCTTTAGTATCAACTTCCACTACTGAAGGGTAGGCTTGCAAGTACCTCTATGGTCAAATCTCTTGGTGCTCAGGGCTGTAGCCTGAGTCTTTGTCCAAAGGATAACATCTCAACAGAGGGTATGTCTGTGGCCTATATTTGTGTGCAGAGTGTTGAAAGGGAAGTAGGTCTATAACCCAGACACTTCACATCTCTAAACATATGCTAATGGCTGCAAATTCATTTCTAAATTGTTGGAGACTTTCCATTTGTGTGCCTGAAGCCATCTTGTCTCTTACCATTAGTATTTCTTAGTTTTGGAATTTAAAAGCTAGAAAATACTTAGCATTAGCTCAGTGAATGTGACCCTTAGAATTGAGCTGTATTATTAAAGAGTACAGCAGCGGTTATTTAAACAAAGTCAGTTCTGCAGAGCCTTAGACCTGAAATAGCTTTTGATGCAAATCAAGGCCCATGAATAGACAGTAGGGTTTACGTTGATCTAAGCTGTCTGAGATACTATATGTTAGATACTCCTTTCAGTTCATGGAGAAATGAAAGCGCCTAGAATTTAGGTGGAGAGCAAGAGTCAGCTCCTTGGCTTAAGCTTATTTGAAATAAAAGCTCAAAGATGTAAGAAAAAAACATATTTCTTATATTTGAAAATAAGTGCAAAGATGAAACTCAGAAGCTTTATTAAACAAATGAAAAATGCTGTAAAGTTAGATGAGGTCAGATACGTGTATTGTAATCTGATAACACAGTTCACTATGGGCTAATCCAAAGTAGAGTCTTGAAAAGGTACACCAATATTTTTCTGCTAAACCATTCGCCTCAGTACAACATTGCTTGAACACCTCCCTGGACTCAGCCACCTCTCTGGGCAGCCCATTCCAATGCCTAACCACTCTTTCAGAGAATAATTTTTTCTTAATGTCCTAACATCCAGCCTTTTAAAAGCTTTTATTGTTTTTGGTTTTGGGTGCCTATTCAATCTCCACCATTAATTTATTTTTTTCTTCTTTCTAGTTCTTACTTTTTCCTTGAAGCTCTAGGTTTCATTTCAGTGGGAGGAAGTCATACAATCTTAGCAACACAGAAGAATTAGTTAAACTTACTATGTTTGGCAGTAACTACAACTAACAGGGACAGGTGTCATCATGATGACATTACTGAGGGATGAGAGACATGTAAATGGGCCAGCAGATTTCTAAGAAGTCAAGGAGATGATCGTGGCAATTAAATATAATAATAATACATATATAAAGAAGAAAAATATGAAATTAAAAACAATATAGTCTGATCTGGATTTCTGTTCACCAGTTGCTAAATCAGGCTCCCATGCTATTTCAAAACAAGCAGTAGAGCAGACTAGAAACCTTTACTGAGCCAAAGATACAGCATCTCATGTTTGGACATCTGTGCCTGTACGTAAGAATTTGGCTCTATATAAGCTGGTTTTTGGTGGCCATGAACTATGATAACCAATGAAATGGTGCCCAAGCCATGCTGGGGTGAATGTTATTTGGCTTGAGCTATGGCATATGGACTTGGCTTGAGGTCATGTCCAGGTCCCGTCTGGTTGAGCAGTATAGATATCAATATAGATATCAATCTTCTAATGTGCTTCTCCTGAGCACTGACAGAACAGATCACCTGCTCTCATGAGCTGTGCTCCTAGAAGCACCCTCCTTATCTGTGCCATTCAGCCCTAAACATGGTTGATGGTAATGAAAGGCCCAGAGCATCCCAGTTTTCATACAGACAAAATAAATCAATTATCTGGCACCCAAATACTAACACCTATATGCTTCTCATGTCCCAGTGACAGATTGTCAGAGGTAATTCCACCAAATACATGTTCATTTTCATGACAGCAGAATTTTTCTCTAAATTCAGAAAAATACATCATGAAATGTGAAGTCTCACTTTAAACAGAAGTATTTACTGAATTATTGTTTTTCGCGCTTCCTCTTCAATGTAAACAAAACAGTTGTATACAAATAAATTCTGAGGAATATTTTTTTCCTATAACATTTGGGAAAAAAATGAGCCCAAGGCAGACATCTATTGTGAAAGACTGCAGTAAAATCAGTTAAAATTTGACAAAAGTCAGAAGTGACTAAAAGCAGAGCCTGGTCCTTGAAAGAGTTAGGCTCTTAAACTGCAGCTAGTTCTGCCAGCTCTTTTCATTACAATCCAGAAGAAGGATGGAATAGCATTTTAATCAAATGCACAGTCTACTAAACTGATAGACCCCTAACAGAGAGGTAATCTAGAAGGACTTAAGAGGCTTATTTACCTTGGGAAAGTCAAGGAGAAAATAATATGAAATTCATGTTAGAAAAAGCAGACTTAACAATATAAGCAAGAAAAATCACTTAGCTGCACAGAGCTGGCTAATGACAGTAGGTAGTAATTTGTACATCTGCTTGCACCGTGAAGTCTCCTTGATTTCAGGCACTTAGCAGAAGCTCTCTGGTTATAAGCCTGTTTGTCCTCGTTATAGACACAGCCCATAAAAAAAAGTAGGTATCACTGCATGGCTTTTTAGATTACAGGTGGGACAAATTTTCCTCTTCAAAGTTCTGCTGTCTCTCTGGTGAAGTTTGTAGAGAAACTGTGCTTCTAGCTGGACTTGGTCACTAAACAAGTTGCTTGAAATTTTTCGGCTACTCACAAA